ATTGGGTCAGGTTTTTGGTGTAGGGGTCGTTGCGGTAGACTTTGGTGACGGCCCGGTCTCCGTGTCTGTGCACCACTTGTAGTAGTTTTAGTGTTGATATGTCGTGGTTTGGCCATGAAGTTGATGTCGGTATTAATAGACATAGTGTTGTGTATATAATAGGTAGCGTTAAGGCAGCCATTAATGTAGGTTTAATTAAATTATTTAAACATATTTGATGTTTGTTATTCAATAATAAGTTAACATCAATAACATTTATGTTTGTATGTTTTTGTCCGACATGAAATATTAATACATGTACAGAATGTCTATGGAAAATGTGTTTATTTTTGTATTTTTATCATTGTTAAATTTAGATTATAAGTTGCCCTTACAAAAACGCCCTTGTGTTATCTCTCTCAAGTGCTTGACATTATTATACAATATATATTAATTAATTTTGTATTACTTTTTGACTACATGTATAATTTGTCAGATTAATTAAAATTTATTTGAATTGTTAAATTACACGGAATTAATGTTTTCATATTGCTACTAAAATTAACAATATTTCACAAATTATAAATGTAATTAAGATAGTCAAATGAATTATTTTATACTTGCTCTTAATAAACATGCTTTACAAATATTTATTAATAAAAAACTTAAATGTTAATTACAGACTGAAATTGTATTACAAATATTACATGAAATAAACGTATTATTATGATAATAATAATACAAATAAAAATCATAAAACACTAGTCTAAATGAAATGACATAGTTGTTAAAAAAATATAAAAATGCCTTAAATAGCTATAACTTATAATTGTTTAATAAGTTGTCCAAAACCGAGAAACAGTGAGTCCGCGGGTCTTATATGAGGGTCGGAAGGCAGTGGTGGGAGTCGTGAACACCGGTCAGACTCCTGGTCATAATCACCGCATATCATATTCAGTGTATTGCCGGCCATAGCGTCCATATATCGGTCTAATTGATCTAGTTGTTTGCTGGTGCAAACGCTGGGCCCACTATACTGTGCGCCACCTTTCAATATACATGCCTTGAGTTCATAGAAGGCGCTGTAAAACAAAATTGTTTAAATTATTTTTTTAATAATAAGTAGAATTATGTTGGTGAAGTTAATTTAATTTAAATAATTATCTATGTCAATTGTATTAACTGCATTGTATTAGAAATTAATATGCATTGTTATATAAATTACAATACAATCTAACGCATTTTACTAACTTAAATTAAACTAACTTTACAATACTGTAATAATTAAACACGATCAGTAAAACATAAATTTAATAACAGCTATGATCATGATCATACCAGCATCCATGGGGCACTCTATATCGTTTGACAGGCACGTGGTCAGCCCTGCCCAGGGCCAGTAAAAACTCATTCATACACCGGTCGCTGTGCGCTCGTATGCCGTTTCCACACGAGGCCATCGCAACCAATTGGTGCCTCTTTTCGGGCCGAAAACAGTAGTTCCTATCGTTGAACCGTACGGTAGACAACATGACAGTAGCGGCCGACCGGTGCAACCCATGTCGGCACCTATCGGTAAAGTCCTTAACGCACTGTATTAGGCGTGGGGTCTCCCGGCAGTGGGCGTCCAACTGGAGGTCCGTTTCGGGCAATAGTCGCGAGTTATGGCCCGCGAAGAATAGCCGTTCGGCGCACAGGTATGCCCGCAGTCGCCGCTCGTCCCCGCAGTCCGCCTGCTTTCCCCGACCCGAGCCCTGCGCTGTTGTGGCCACTGAATGGGTATAAAGTAATTATTAATGTAATGTATTTTATTATTAAGCAATTGTTTTGTTGCGATTTGAATGCTTACCTGAAAAACATATGATAATAGCGTTGATATACAGACACATTGTTTTATGATTGTTATACATAATTAGTTTTAATTATAATGATTTACGCTTTTATAACAACAGTTAACGACTTTTA